TGGGAAATACAAGAATCAAGATCAGGAAGAGGAAAAGAAGAAAACGAAAGGAAAGAAGTAAGTAAGAGCAAACGTTTCAAAAAAAAGCCAAATGTTGTGTTCTAAAGTGGTGTAGTTCTAAAGAGATTTTCCTTACTAAATGCATGCAGTGGCAGACAAAAGTTTTGCACCACCCCACAAATTCAGCAAAAACCGCTATAAAAATTTGAATAAAAGTTTCGGGTCAACTTTAACGTTTTAGATAGAATTGGTATGATTGAATACAACAAAAGATAATGATATCTCGTGGGTTTCCCTTGACTTCAAAAAAATGCGGTCCAATTTTTGCTTTTCCTTGTGGACAAAAGTTTTGCACCAGCTTGTTGGGTGACGAGAACCTGAAAAAAACATGATTTTATGTCAACAAATTGGAATAAAACTTAAATAGAACAAGAAATGGCATCAATATTTTGTAAGAAAACCATCAGAATTAATAACAGCTTGGCATCTACGGCCCATGGAATCAATTAAACGATCAATAAACTTTTTATCGATTTTCCGCCATTCTGCTTGAAGATGAAGCACCAGATCAGTTCGACTTGAATGTTTGCGTGTTGATATGCGTTTGCCAAGCTCGTTCCACATATGTTCGATCGGGTTTAAGTCCGGGCTTTGACTTGGCCATACCATTTTCTTGATTCGTTTCTGCTGAAGCCATTGTTTGACAAGAGTCGAAGAATGTTTTGGGTCGTTGTCCTGCTGAAAGATCCATCCTTTTAGCATATTACCACGAGCAAATGGAAGCATTTTGTTTTCCAATATTTTTTGATACTGAAATCGATCCATTATCGTGATGAGAGGGCCTACGCCATTTGAGGAGAAACAGCCCCAAACCAGCACAGATCCTCCGCCATGCTTCATAGTGGGTTTGAGATATTTGTTATTGTATCTTTGATTGATCGGACGACGCACATAACATTTTCCATCAGAGCCAAACAAAAGAAACTTCGATTCATCTGACCAAAGCACATTTTCCCACTGTTTTCGCGACCAGTTTAAATGTGCCTTTGCAAACTTGATTCTTTCTCGACGATTCTTCTCGCTAACCATCGGCTTACGAGCTGGCAGACGAGCATGCAGTCCAAAAGCATTTAGCCGACGTCCAACTGTCTTAGCGCTAACCGATATTCCTAATTCGGTGAAAATCTCTCGTTGAATCGTAGCGGCGTCTTTAGTTGGATTGGCCATCGACTTCAGCCTGATCGATCTGTCGACCCTTGGAGTCGTGACTTTTTGTCGTCCTGTTCGTGATTTATCCTTTAGAGCTTCACGTTTTCGATATTTCTTCATTATGCGAAGGACAGTAGAGTGGTCGACATGAAATTGCTCTCCGACTTTGCGAGAACTCTTTCCATCCTTGACTGCCTCGATGATGAGCTTTCTGACTTCGACGGTCGTATTTTTTCCCCTCGGCATCGCTTTTCTAAACTTGCAAACTTTAATATCAAATTTAAAGAACATAAATTATAAGAATTTAAAAATTTAAAAAGTAATATTAAATATAACATAACGCAGAAACAAGGATAGTCGCTTGTGGTGCAAAACTTTTGTCCACAAGGAAAAGCAAAAATTGGACCGCATTTTTTTGAAGTCAAGGGAAACCCACGAGATATCATTTTTTTTTTATTGTATTCAATCATACCAATTCTATATAAAACGTTAAAGTTGACCCGAAACTTTTATTCAAATTTTTATAGCGGTTTTTGCTGAATTTGTGGGGTGGTGCAAAACTTTTGTCTGCCACTGTACATAGCTTACAATAAGATAACAAAGTAAACCTTTTTACCAATTTTTCCCAATTCTCTCAACTTTGAGTAATAAGACTAGTTTTCAAACGGGAAACAAACTTTTGAAAAAAGTAATCACTGACGTTAAAGAGTGCACTTTCAGAGCCAAAGCAGCAAGCCTAAAAGTGGAAAAAAGGACCAGAAGAAATTGAAAGTAAAAAAGGAAAAGTCAAGAAAAAAATTATCTAACATTTCATTGCACTTGTGTTAGTTAATGTTTCTAAATTCTCTTTTTGAAGTCTTGTTTCTATTTATTTCTAAATTATCGTTTTAAATCCTGCTTTTAACCTTTAATTCAATTATCATTTATAAAAAGTTGCATAATTTTTCCTTTGTTTTAACGAGGTTTATCCTCACATTATCTAAAAGTTTTTTTTTCATTTATTTAAATCTTTACTTTAATTTTTGTTAAGTCAAATTGCAATGGAGCCAACCTCTCCTTCCAACGATTGGGAGCGTCTTCAAGCCGACGCGCTTATGACACAAGATGATAATCCGCAAAAACAACTGGTTTTTCTAATATTTTCTTCTTAATACTATGATAATAGTAATTCTTACTATAATAATACTAACAATAATAAGACTTAATCTAAATATTATAGAGTCCAAAACAATCGATTGATAGTGATCAATCAGAAATGCTAAACAGTGACGAGAAACAAGTATCGAAACAGAAAGTGAGTTAATTTTCTGTCTCAAAATCTTTTATAAAAATTCAATAATGTATAAAAGTTTGTGTTTAGTCAAATAACAATACCGTAAAAACTCCTATAGCCCCCTATAGGAGGGTTGCGTAGTCTAAGTTTACTCTCAAAGAACCGCTCATATCTCGACACCAGTACGTTTGTTTCTGTACGGTTCGGTATCAAATTAAAGTAGAGAGAATGGGTGATTTTTTGAGATATAACACATATTTTTAACATTAACCAGCACTTAGAAAAAAATGATTGAAAGGTGGCAAAAAAGAACCGATGTTAAAAATATGTGTTAGAGCTCAAACAATTACCGATTCTCTCTACTTTAATTTGATACCTAACCGTACAGAAACAAACGTACTGGTGTCGAGATATGAGCGGTTCTTTGAGAGTAAACTTAGACTACGCGACGCTCCTATAGGGAGCCATTCTATTAGAGTTTTTACGGTAAACGAGGTATCATACTTGACCAAAGTTCACTGGTTGCCAGAAAAGCAGTCAAAAATATCCATGTACCCATGTCACCTGTAGAATTTTAGAGTCAAAATGAAGAACAACAACAAGTTGAACAGCTTGGACTCACTTGTCAACTTTTCTTTGATCAATCAGCACCCAATCGTCCAGCCCCTGCTGCTCCTTTAAACAATCGGAGTGATGCTTGCGTTCAAGTCGCTCAAATGACAGCCCACGGAATCAATGCTCAATTGGAGCACCTTCCCGAAGCGAAGCGCCTTCCTTTCTTGATTACATTATGGGAACATATCAAGTTGCCGAAAATTGCAAGTTTTGATTTGAAATAGACAAAAGATGAAGCTTTTAACACAACACATATTTTAGCTCACATTTTTGTAGTCTAAAATTCAAACTAGTTAACTTTATGGTAGTCTGACATAAACATTACATAGGAATGACAGAAATTTGACAGAAACGTATCATTTTAGGATCACAACTGTTTGGCCCCTTCCGACTCTTGTAACTCTTCAAAAGAAAACGTCGTTGACCAACAACCAGCCGAGACCGTAAAAGGCCTTGCCACTGAACAAAAGATGAATACAAGTGAACCAATCGATGCTCAACTCCTACAGGAAAACCCCCGTTGACAAAGGAAAGTTTGAAGCTCCCAGCCACACAACCGACTACAAAACGCTTCAAGAGGGCTTTGTTAAAGCACAGAAATTTGAGTCCAACCCTACAAACTTGCAAGCATTCCAAGAGAGCTTCGTCGAAAAAAAGGATATCGACGAGAGAAATGCTATTCCTTTTTCCTTCCGCTCCATTCCTTCCGAGCTAAATCAATCAACTCAGCCAATTGCAAAACCTAGAGCCCAAGACAATCGCAACTCTATCAATGTTTCAAGACTCGATAAAGCCCTTTCAGATAACCATCAAGAGAAATTCCAACTAGATTTCTTGACAAAGGCCTCTGTCGAGTCTCATCCCACCGAAAATACAAATTCTCAAAGGTTGCCCAATTCTAATAATAGCACTGTTAAACCAGTGCCATTGCCCGAAGAAACTCCACTTTCAGCTGGAAATCTCGATGCATCTTTTTCGGAAATGCATAAAAAAGAACTATCTCAAGACCACCGTCATAGGCTTGAAGCAAAACCCGAAAGCCAACCGGCAAACGAAACCGTATACCCTATTGATGTAGAAAAGCTAGGAGTAATGGAAAGACCCACGTCAAAGATGGGTGCCAAGCCTCAACTTTCGCCCAAAAACAAAGCACCCATTCCTGGGTTACCAAAAGCTGAAAACTGTCCTTCAAAAGCGATTAACCTTGAGGCGGTCCCAAACCGAGTAGCCAATGTAAAAAACGAGCGAAACGCCTGGATGCAAAAAACTCCAAAGCAGCCAAGTACCTCGTCGACTAAAAAGACTATCAACATCTTGTTGTTAGGCGAAACGGGAGTCGGGAAGTCAACTTGGGTCAATGCTTTTGTCAACTATTTGACTTACAATTCTCTCGAAGAGGCTATCGCCGCGAAGACCCCAATCTGCATGATTCCCCACAAAGTTCACCCTTTTCGATGAGGAATTCCAGCCACACCAGGTGCTGCTCGGACACGACGAGAACGAGGTTTTCTCGGATGGTGGACAGTCAGCGACTCAAGGCCCGAAAACCTATTTGTTGGAAAGAGATGAGTACGATATCTACCTTGTCGACACCCCAGGAATGGGCGATACGCGTGGAGTTGAGCAAGATAAGGTGAATGTGCAGAAGATCCTCAAAGCCGTCGCCAACTTTGACGAGATTCACGCAATTTGTTTGCTCTTTAAACCAAACGAGGCGCGTTTCACCCCATCGTTTAGCTATTCGATTAATCGACTGCTCGAAAATTTGCCTAAACAAGCTCTCCAAAACGTGTGCTTTATGTTCACGAACGCTCGCAGCACTCGCTATTTGCCTGGTGGCACGATGAAGCTATTGACAACATATTTCGACAATCTCAAGGCCTCAAAGGGGATCACGGTGCCAATGGAGAAAGAGAATATCTTTTGTGTAGACAACGAGGGTTTCCGCTTCATTTGTGCTCGCTTCAGTGGGCCGACTTTCTCGGGACTGGACTTTAACAAGTTTACGCTCAGCTGGAAGCACTCGTCCAACGAGGTTCGCCGCTTGTTAGCTCATGCGGCAAGCGCTTCTCCGTACGACACGTCGTCAACAAAGTCTCTGAATCAGACGAGAACCTGGACCAATCAATTGCTCGTTTCACTTTACCCGATGAGCACTATGATTTTGGAAAATTGTGCCCAGCTTGAGGTGGAAAAGGCGCGACTCACGGACAATGCTTATAGTATCGACGAGCTGCGCAACCTAGATGCCCCCAAAGTGACCTCATTGGAGATCGTAGCACTTAAAAAGGCGCAAGTGGTTTGCAAAAGTCGGAAGTGTGTACGATACGAGGTTGTCGGCGGAAAAGTGGAGGTCATTCATAAAGTGTGTCACAAAGAGTGCAACTCGAAGCCAAACGCCGGCTTGGAAAGGTGTTTGATTTTTCGACAAACCAACCCGGGACCCGGAATCTGCGAACTGTGCTTGTGTCCAATGAAAAAACACAAACGGGTCGATTTTGAGCAGAAAATCGTCACAAGGGTGACCCAAAGTCAACAAATTTCCATGATGCCCTTCACGGAGATGCGCAAGAGACTCATGCACAAACGCGAGCGTTTAGCAAGCGAGTACTCTAAGGAACTGAATTACATCCTCTTTGCATTGGCCACTTTTTCGCTGTTCCTTGACGAAAATCAAATCTCCAAACAAACAAATCCAGTCAAACACCAGTTGCAAAAGTTGTTGGACGCCGAGGAGAGACATTTGTCTCGAGTCAAGAACGGAGACCCAAAGAAAGTCACTCAATTGAGGCATCTCTTCCAAATGTACTGTGAAAATTGGGAGAAGTTAGTTGATCAAAATGGCAAAAAAGTGACAATTGAAGAGTTGGCAATAGTACGAAATAAGTTGTTTTCCATGGCGCACACTGGCGCAAAAATTGCCGAGATTTTCGAGATCAACGTCGACACCGACCATCAAGAGTCCGAGGCCGCCGTCACACGATGCGAGCCGCGCTTTTATGAGTGAGTTGTCGGAAATTTATCAGATATAAATCAGCTATTCCATCCAAAATTGATACTAAATCAAACTTCGGTAAGCTTTGATAAAACTTTTATAAACTTTTGTCTGGATGGCATTTTTCTCATCCCAACAAAGTCTCTAACGCTAACAAATTAATTTAGCATTTACACTATTGATAAACCATTTGGTGAACGTACTTAACAAATTCTAAGCTATGATCGGTTAAAGTAAGTAAAAAAAACTCTACAAACAAAGCTTCCCCCATAGAAAATGATAAAAAACACTTAACTTAACATTAGTTAGCATCAAGTTCGTGGAGCAGATCATCGGGAAGCAAATGGGTCTAAAAAAACTCTACAAACAAAGCTTCCGCCATCGAAAATGCTTTAAAAACGTAACTTAGCTTTATCATCTTTGTTTCCTGCAAAAACAAACGCGGACCACATCAGAAAAACGCAAAAAGAATAAAATGAAATGAACAAGAATGAAAAAAATGAATTTCGCGGAAATTGGAGGGTACGGTAGTTTTACCACGCTTTAAAGCGCTAACCCAGGATTTTCTCGAAAAAAGGTCGCAAGTTAACGGCCATTTCCATTTCCTTTTGAAATGTTCGAAAATAGTAGCTTGGACTACTATTCAAAAAAAATACCGTCAACGCTGTGCATTTGTTTTTATCTTTTTTCTAAAAACAATGTTTTTAGAAGAATGGCTCGCGGATTTGAAAACTTTGTTGGACAAATGTTCGTCGATGCAGCTGTTGCTTCTAATTTTATTAATATGTTCTATTGAACAAATGATTATTTTGTTTCAATGAATACAGATTTGTGTGTTTAAAAACTTTTAAATACGCTTTTACTAAACTCAAAAATACAAATAGTGAATGGAAACAAAAAAAGGATTCTGAAAAGCAAATTTTGACAAAGAAATGGGATCAGTTCATTTAGAAGTGAAAGTTTGAAGGAAAAAAATAGCTAACTTATAAAGTTTTTAACTACGAAACTGTGCATTTGCTATTTTCTAGCCTCATTAACGCAGTATTTTTAAGAAAACCCAGGGGAACAACGGTCGGGACATCTAGACCGAAACTTTGACATGAGAAGGACTTTTCGGTGTGTACTTTTTGCAGAAAAAAATCTTTATTAAGATGGCAAAACATTAACTAATTAAAGAAGTAAAATTTGCCAAGCAATACAAGTCCAGTGCTAACCACAAAAACAAAGCATGTTAAATAGAAACACGACGGACAACCATAATAGAATGGTCCTCGCTGTTGGAGCAAATCCAATTGTGTTTCGATTGTCACTAAATTTTTGCTTATAGCATTACAATCATTACAAGCATTACAGCATTCTTCAACTTATAATTCTTCAATTTTTAAACGCACATGAATTTCTCTTTACGGTGAGCGTCTTCTCGGTCACTTTAAACGGATCGACTTTCTTCTCATCCTCGACGTGAAATCCTAAAAATTCTAACTAAATTTATTAAACTAACTAAACTAACTTTATTAAAATAGCCACCTAAGTAAATAAGCCAATAGTTTTATCGTTTTTAAACGTTTAAAAAAAAGAATCAAACTATGATAGCATCAATCTAACTTTCCTCAAAAATAATAAAAATGTTTTTAAAGACCCAAGACACAAAAACAAAACCGTTGATTCAAGCATTTTCTATTATAAAAAAACAAAATCTTTTAAAATGCCTTACCCAAACTGTCGTATGTTGGTGGTAGCTCAAAATTCTCCATCATTTTGACCAAAAGTGATTACATCAATGGTTCGATTTGACTCATGGAAAAGTTCTTTTACGAGGGGAAGCAAAAGAAAGAAAATTTTGCGTTATCACCAGTAAAATTTTCTTCGGAGAACTTAAAGGGTAGAAACCACAATTCTCAGGGAAAGAAGAAAAAAAAACACAGCTCACCGCAAAGTCGATTGAGCAAACTTTAAAGTTCAGAACAGCTGAGAGGGTTCTTCGCATTGGCTTTTCATAACGCCTTTGAGGCTTTTCATAACGCATAACTTTTCATAACGTTTAATAAGCTTTATTAAAGTTTGATTATCTAAAACGTTTATGAAGTTTGATTATCTAAACGATTCTCAAGCCGTATTCTCTTTTCCAAGTTCCAGCGGATCCTTCATGATGTATCCGGCCAACTCGGTCATTTCTGGAAATTAAACCCTTGACCTTTTGATTTTTAGGCAATTGCTCAAGCCACTGAGCTATTCAGTAGCTTAACTTGTCAAGAGAAAGAAGGAAATACCCGGGTTTTAATGTTTACTCTGATCTTTGCGCGATCTCGTCAAGATCTCGAGTCTGGAGCCGAATTTAAAACTCAGTCTTCATATTGTTGTCTGATGTATGCTTTAAAAGGAGCTTTCCAACAAATATCAGCAGGCTGAGCTGGTTTGGTCGTCTCTTCAGGCACGTCGAATCTAATTTCAGCTTTTCAAGACATTCCTTTGTAGACTTATTGCTGTGTGTTGATCCCAGATAAGCAGTGAGTGCTCTTTTTGGAGAAAAAGCTAAGTCCACCAAATGATCGTTGTAGATAATTGGCCGTGCTGTCATTATCAAAACATTTGTTCTTTCCAACACAAAATCAACTTTCCTTGAAATTTTACTTCAATTTTCTTTTCCATCGATTTTTGTGACATCACCACAAACGGACGCAATTTCATACAATCCGAGTCAGCACCACAGAAATGTTCATTTTATTAAAAGATCCTAGTCAACACTCCAACTTCCCAACTCCACTCCAACTCCTCCAAGTTCACTCCACTCCAACTCCTCCAAGTCAACCTCTAGTCAACACTCCAATCGACTGAAAACTGACAGCTCGACAAACGACAATTAAATTTTGCCATAACTTCAACTTAAATCAAAGTCAAATGTTTAACGGATCTCTAAAGAAGTCTAAAGAATAGTGACATTCGGTGAAGAAAGAGAAATTATTTATATGTTGAGTTTTCCTTGTTAGTCTTCCCTTTGGTGAATTGTATTTTGTTCTTAAATCCATGGTTTATTGAAGAGATTTATTTCCTTCTTGTCGTTGATTTGAAATTGATAGTGCTCACAATTTGGGTGGACGGCTCGGTGGTACGAAGTGATTGGATGGAAACAATCGAGAAATTGCCAAGCAATAGCTTCATTGTGAAGTCTAAATAGGGACGAGTGGTGAGGAGGATGACGATTGGATAGAGGAAACCGTAAGGCATTAAAACAAGAGCTGTTGACACATTGAACACTGGAAGGGATTGTAAACTTAAAGTATTTATTCTCAATAGTCTGTTTTTTGGCGTTTTCTAATAGATAATTTGGAAATTGTCGTAATCTTTTCTAGTACTTTTCAATTAAACTCACAAAGTATAATGATTTGTGATTTTGTGATTGCGACGAGGATGGTGAAGCCGCAAGGGATTAGACCAGCTCCAAGAGTGCAAAGAGACTAAAATTTTGATGTTCTTGATAGTTTTCTATTCAATTTAACAGGAATTCTTGAATTTTGGCTAAAAGAGAGCTTTAAAATCAGCTTAAGCTGCTTTAGAATCAGCTTAAGCTGCTTTAGAATCAGCTTAAGCTGCTTTAGAATCAGCTTAAGCTGCTTTAGAATCAGCTTAAGCTGCTTTCAAATCAGCTTAAGCTGCTTTAGAATTAACTTAAGCCGCTTTAGAATCAGCTTAAGCTGCTTTAGAATCAGTTTAAGCTTTAAAATCTCACTTGTATCATCAACATTGAAAGAGCCAATCGTTGAGCGGCTAGCGTTTTTTTTGATTGTTGTTTAGCAACAGTTTTACTTGAATACAGCAACCAATTCGTGGCCACGATATAGAAAATGAAAGCAGTTATGTAGAGAAAAGAGATGAACATAAGTGGAAGAATATAGGTGATTGATAGGATGATATTATTTGGAGAAATTGTGATGGATTCGAATGAAGGGAAAAGGGTGATTGGGTGCTGAAAGGAACTTGACTTATCGGCACTTGATCGTCGATTTTCTAAAAAGTGTGCTCATAAAAAAACTATAGTAATCCCAGGATGTTTTGGCCGAAATTACGATAGAAAACGCGCCATTTAGCCTGGATCAAATCTGCTAAAATACGCGTAATCCCAATTTAAAGTGGCTTAACTTTTGCCTACCTTAAAGTGGCTTAATTTAAAGGGATTACGGTGGCTTACCTTTTGCCTTGACCTTTTGCTTACCAATCCTTTTAAGCAACTCACCAAAATCCCCAAATCTTCAGTCGGTTCCGATGAATCATAAGCAACAAAATAAAAGCATGGAATCGCGTAAATAATCATACCAAAAATCAAATAATATCGAATTTTCATATAGAATTTTCTCAGCTTTCCATAAACGACGATCTCAAAACGGTACTTAAAACAGAAAATCGTCGATCGGATAGCATTGACAACTGTGTAGGAGTAAAGAAGCTGAATTTTTGTTGAAGAAAAATGAAATTACAATCAATTTACCATTTGTAATTTGAAAGAAATCCGTGGAAAGATTAAGCTAATGAAAGAATTTGAGATTAGAAGAATATTTGATTGATCTGATCGTTGAAAGATGTATGGAGAGAACCAAATGATATGAACAGCGCTGAAGAAACTGCATGAGAGCTGAAATTTGGATTTTAGCTTAAATTGAGTAAGTAAATATTATTTAGTGACACCGAAAGCTTAAGAAATCCGACGAGAACTATTGGGTTGATGGAAAAGTCCTTTCCGATTTTTTGGGAGATTACCTTAAATTTGTCGAATTTTGACGTTTTATACCTCATCTTAAAGCTGAATTCAAGACGGATCGATCGAAAATGGGATGCGGGAAAAGGATGTGGCCAACCTCTTCAATTGCTCGATAAGGACGGTGCGCCGCATTCTTTCTCAATCAAAAGTCGACCGAAACCTTCATCGAGGCCGACAACCAATCACAACCACAAAAAAAGTTGGACCGAAGTTGGACAATAAGTGATTGGGCGAAAGTGTTATTTACCGATGAGACAAAAATCAATTTATTTCACGCGGACGGAAACCATCTTATTCGGCGGCCGACTGGAAAGCGATACACACTCAAGTATTGGGTTGATGGAAAAGTCCTTACTTTAAATAGAGTACTTTAGTACAGAGTACTTTAAATGTACTTTAAATGTCCAATTTAGGAGAGTACTTTAAATGTCCAATTTTGTCCAATTTTGACGTTTTATAGCTCATCTTAAAGTTGAATTCAAGACGGATCGATTGGTAAAAACCGTTTTGAGATATCTCTTTTCTAAAAGTTTTTACAGCTATTTTACCTATTTTACCTATTTTACCTATTTTACCTAGGCGCAGAGGGCGGCAGAGCCAAAAAATGACTGTTTTCACGTTTCGTTAGTTTTCCGTGCAGAAACCTAGGCTAAAAACATGTGTTTCGGTGATCACGTCAAAAATAACCCCTAGACACGCATTTTCAGAATTTTAGCAATATTCGAGTGTGTTCCTCTGAAGAAATAATGAAAAATAGGAAACGAATGGATTTAAAATAAACTGAAGATCTTACAATTTGTAGAAGATATTTAAGATATTCAGTTGATTTCGTCCTAATCCGTTTCCTATTTCACACGATTTTTTGACGAAAACACCCTCTAAGAACTATGTTTGAAATTTTGTCTAAGAATGTTTATTTCAAATTGAGTTTGCATTAGCTGGCGGTGATCAATGGGGAGGTAACTTTGGCAGAGTTATCAAAATTCTAACATCAAAGTTTTGTCATGAGTCATGAACGACACATCGATCCCTTGAAAGGAACCTCCTCGGGCACAATAGGAAGACGCAGCTCGACCAAGACCTAAGAAGTAGCCAGCTCTCGGGACTTAGAGATCCAGTAGAAGTGATCGAGAGAAGAAGACTCAAATGGGCCGGCCACGTGGCCAGAAAAACTGACGACAAATGGACGATACGGATCACAGAGTGGCTACCACGAGACTAGAAGAGGCCCATCGGAAGACCAGCAACGAGGTGGAGTACAAGAGTGGCAGAGACGGTCAGAGAAAGGATGGCTAAAGTGCAACCACCACCAGCACAAGCAAGTCAAAGACTCCGGACCAGGAACAACCAAGGTAGGAAACACTGGATGACAATAGCAAGAGATAGAGAAATGTGGAAGCAGGTTGTGATCTGCGCGAATAGGAACACCTAATTGCGAAAACAGATCAAACAAAAAAGTTTTGTTATTTTATTCTTAAATGAAATGTAATCAATCAATTTCAACAAAAATATTGATATGAGCTAAAAATGCTGATAATTCCTAAAAACAAACCAGGCTATCGATGATATGCAATCGATAGCGAATCATGGCTAGTGGTGTGTTGAAATAGGCAACAAAAAGAATATAGGAGACAAAGGATTACGGTAAGGACTAGGCAAATGATGTCGAGTTCGAGTCGATAGGGAATCAAATCGAGGCCGATTGTGTATGTGATTTGATTGGGCATCTTTGAAGAGAATATTGATTAGAGTGACAACTCAAAATGTAATATCTTGTAAGCGGAAACTATTTTTGTTTAGAAAGACAGGTGATTCTCGAGGCTGTCGCTTTTTTTGGGATTGATTTTTTTGATGTTTTAGAGCGCCCACTCAAAATGAGATGAAATCGAGAAGAAAAATAGGAAAATTTTGAGCTATCGATTTGGATTGATTCGACTCAAACCAAATTTCGGTTTTCGGTTTTCATCGAGCCGATTCTCGTTTCTGGATTGAAAGAAACAAAAAAAAGATCAATCCTGAGGAAATTGCGAGAAAAAACTCTCAAAGCAGATCACATTTTTCACTCAATTTAGCTACTATTTAATGGTGACTGGAAAGAAAAGTATAGTGGTTGATTGACTGATGAATACAAACCAAGAGAAGCGAGCGAAGGAGGGCTGGTCGAGGTGGCGAGACCGGCGGTGGACGTCGAGACCGTGGTGGAGGTGATTGACGAAACCAGCTTGAATCAAAGCTTTAATCAAATTTCAATGTCCAAGTAAAAGTAGATTATTCCTAGTTTTCGGCCACCAACCTGGCCACTCCTACAAGTTGAATTTGTGTTTGCTTTTGGCTGGGAATAGAAAACGTATGATCGAATTGAGCCAAACGACACGTACCGATACCGATACCACTAGGGTAGGGAAGTCTTACTCTAGCCATTATAGTTGCAGAGCTAATAGGGATACAGTCTAGGTCTAGTCGTTTGCACTTGGAATCTCCATCTCGTGTTTTTGAATTCATTTTTCACTCACTACCATCAAATAGATATATTTTTGATATTCCAGCATCCGTGCCGGGGTTTGGTATTTTGCAAGAAAGAAAAATCGTTGCCGTAATACCTCTAATAGTAGCGCTCCCCCATAATGACAAGGTATTGCCGCGTAGTCTAACTTTAAACACTCCTTCTCCGCACCGCTTTATGCTATAGTTTGCGCTTGAGTGTCAAATGATAGCCCTTGAAATCTAGTATTTTTTCGATACTAAAAGTGTAGTTGGGAAAAAACTAGGAGCTGAGAAGTCAGACTACGCGACTTTACGGGGAGGGGAGCGTGCTATTATTAGAAGTATTACGATAAGTACAAGAGAGTTTTCAAAAAAACATAAGGTCACTTGAAAATTGTATGCAATAATAATTCCCGGAATTTGCCTCAAGAAGCACGAGCTTTTTTTTGATGAAATTCTTAACTATGGAATTGATTTTTCTGATAAAATCCAATATTTATTATAAATTTATTATCTAAATGCAAAACCCCTAAAGAAAAAGTACATGCAATAGCTGGGTTTACCAGTAGAAGTGAGAGGAAAAGAGAGGGGAAAATCACAGCTTCGACTTTGCGATCAAAAGAGAAATGAGACCCAAGTTTAGGAAAAAAAAATTGAAAGGGTACAGTTCTTGACAAAAAAAAAAGACAAATCGTTGACAGGTAATCAGGGAAAATCTGGGATAAAAATGGGCAAGAATGACATCAATAGATGCTCAAAAAGAATAAAGATCTTTAAAACCACTACAGTAATCCGTACAATAATCTGGCACAGTAAGCACTAAAGTAATCGTTAAACAAAACAAACTATCCAAATCTGCTCTATCCATTCTATCTAATTTTTGGATCTTTTCATAGTCAATCTTTGTAGATCTTTCATAGATCTTTGTAGAATCACAAAGTAGATCGATTGGATGAAAAATAGAGACAAGATTACGGTAGTTTTTTTTGAACAGTTGACACTTTTTAAAAATGACATTACAAAACAAAAATCATGAAAGAAATCACAGAAATAATTTGGCATTAATAAATAATTTTAAGAGTTTTTACTCGATTTGGTTCAACTTCGATGGGAGTGATGATTGGAGTCGAGTTCTGATAGAGGAGAGTCAATGAAGTGGAATGAATCGATTTCACTCCGGTGCCGAGAAGCGTTTGAATGTCCAACTAAATTTCAATCTTTGGAAAAATCATGCAATTTTCTCGGAGCTCAGCTCAATTTGTTTATGGTTTAACCGATCTGAATCAAACAAATCAATTAAATCAATCAAACAAATCAATCAATCAAACAGTTCAACTATCAGTTTAATTCAATCAACGATTCTCAAATCAATCAAATAGAGCTTTGGATTTACCTTTAGCCCAGCTAGTGTCAAATAGAAAACAAAAGATCAACTAAATATTCTAGCCAAGGCTGTTTCTAGACTGATTTTCTAGGCTAAGCCAAGCCAAAGGTTTTCTATCGTACTTTTTCTATGTACGATAGAAAACCTTTGGCTTCCTTATTCATTTAATCATTTGATCAATGTCTAATAGGATTTTTTATTTAATATCTATCTAATTTCCTTCTCAATTCTAGGCATTATCTCGAGCTGTGTGGCAGTGTTCTCACAATTGAACCGATAAAGTTTCAGCCTTGAATTGCTTTTGAAAAATCTTTAAGAAAGGAGTTACAAAAACTTATGCAAGCAATAACTAGTGTATAAGATTATGTTGGAAAGAAAGTTCTTAGAAAAAGTTTGAAGTTTGACTAGAGTTTCTTTAAAAACGAATCCACGAATTCAAGAACATTTTCTTCTATTCAACTTCAACAAGTCAACTATTTTAGGCTTTGAGTAAGACCCATTGCACATCCGCGCGAAAGTGCGTTTTCTCATGAAATTTCTTCTAGTAAATACCATTCGACGCAGAATTTTGTACTGATTCCAAAAATGATAATGATTTTGAAATCCGTTCGACAAATTTTTTTAAATCAGCTTTTTCTGAGAACTCCAAAAAGTGAAAAGTTGTTATTTTCAAAATCATAGAAAAAAATTTCTATTCCGCATTCAGACTTCGTTTTGTTTTTATTTAAAAGAAGACATTTGAAAATATCTTTTTAGATTTTAACAACTAACAAATTATTTTATAAACCCAGAGTTTCTGAAGTAGAAAATGCACCAATTTTCCAAAACAGGGGTAAAGTTTGGAGGTCTGATTCTCAAAAAAAGTTTATGAGCAAAAAAATTCTGTCTAATAATTTTTATTTTAAGATTCTTTTTAAGCATTTTAGTTCAAAAAGTAATTAAAAAGAATCATTCTGCGCAAAGTTATAACTTTTTTTTCTTGTCCTGCTCAGAAATAGGGCCCTGTTTTCTCAAATACGCTTCAATTACCGTACTTCTGGATGGCCTCAATGTAAAATATATGCTCGTTTTTGACCTTTTTTGATTTTTTGTGCATATTTACCATTATTTTCGCGCGGATGTGCATTGCCTATTCATTAACCCATTAAAAACTTATCTAAAGCTGATCACTTAAAAAGTAATCAAGTCATTTCAGCTGAAGAAATCTCTTTTTACCTGAAGCCCACTCTAATTTTGTTTTTTTGTTAAAACTTAAAACTGTTACAAACTTTTAAAAATATAGTCAAGTTTATTAAAGAAATCTGGGAAGAATTCATGGATTGGTTTCTGAGAAATCATCACTTTTCTGGCTTTGTTCTTAAAGTTTGGATTTTTGGGAAATCATCGTACAAACTTTTTCTGTGAACTTTCTTCCAAACCTAATATCTATTAGCTTTTTAAATTAATATGTTTTATTATAAGCTAGATTTATACCTTATCCGTATTTGCACAGCTTCCAGTTGCTATTTCCTTTGTCACTCGACACTCGGGAACCCATCGATGAACAATCAACGCTGCCTCAGGCCTAGCCTTCACTTGCAAATTGTTCTAAACATGGCTTTATTCTTAAAGTTTGTATTTTTGTACCTGATAATCAGTCGGGCCAACCATTGTCCTAAGTGTTACCAAATGGTGATCGCAAGGGAATGAGGCTGATAAACCTTGGACTTTCGATTTTGGAGCATCTGAAGTTTAAAGATTTTTTTCAATTTTTCAATTTCAAATTCAAAAACCTTTTGTGAGCACTTTTATCCAAGGATAATGCAACTTTAGTGAATGGTGATGGGCTGTTGAAGACAAGTGACCCATTGGTGAGCTTTCCAAATCTTTTGTTGGCGCAACGATTGGCTCGAGAAGAAGACGGAAATTCGAGATCGTTACCCGATTGTCGAGTAGAGGCTGTAAATGGTTTTGAAATTCTTCATTTCCCTTTTTTCGATAACCTGTTGAAGTCCTCGATTGTCATCTTGTTGCAAACGACGATCTAACATCACTTCAAGCCAACCTGGAAAGGAAATAGTTGGTGATAAAGCATCTCTTTAAACAAACCATTCTTCAAACTTGAAACACCAAGGGCCTGAGCACCAATGAGAGTCATTCTAGTGTTTGAATCCTGAAAAATAGATATAAAGATTGATGTAAAGATTGATGTAAAGATTGATATAAAGATTGATGCAAAGATTGTTATTCTTTTACCTCAATGTAAGCACTTCCAGGCATTGGATAGAAATGAGCTTGTAAGGGTAATTTGTCAAGCATTCGTCGTCGACGAATCATCTGAAATGAATCATTTGAAAGCTAAAAATTGTATAAGCTTTTCTCAAACCTGTAAATTGTTAAGATCCGTAAAAGAAATCGTTTCCACTCTGAATTGAAGTCTCAAATCGCATTGCCACCTAAAGAGACCAAATTTCTCATTAATGCACTGACGATAACGGTAATTCATGTATGATAAGTGGCACCTCAATATTGTCCGATCTTCCCCGTAAATCGATTTGATTCTGAAGACCAATCGCCGTTGACCCCTAAACACTTTAGTTTTTAGTTTCCTTAGCTCTTTAGCTCTTTAGCTATTTAACTCTTTAACTCTTTAGCTCTTTAACTCTTTAACTCTTTAGCTCTTTAACTCTTTAGCTATTTAACTCTTTAGCTCTTTAACTCTTTAGCTATTTAACTCTTTAGCTCTTTAGCTCTTTAGCTATTTAACTCTTTAACTCTTTAGCTCTTTAACTCTTTAGCTATTTAGCT